ACGGGAGTGGACTCATCAGGGTTAAGGGTTACGGGTTCGGGTTACGGTTCTGACCTGAGGGTTCCGGTGGGAGACGGGAGTGGACTCATCAGGGTTAAGGGTTACGGGTTGGGGTTACGGTTCTGACCTGAGGGTTCCGGTGGGAGACGGGAGTGGACTCATCAGGGTTAAGGGTTACGGGTTCGGGTTACGGTTCTGACCTGAGGGTTCCGGTGGGAGACGGGAGTGGACTCATCAGGGTTAAGGGTTACGGGTTCGGGTTACGGTTCTGACCTGAGGGTTCCGGTGGGAGACGGGAGTGGACTCATCAGGGTTAAAGGTTACGGGTTCGGGTTACGGTTCTGACCTGAGGGTTCCGGTGGGAGACGGGAGTGGACTCATCAGAGTTAAAGGTTACGGGTTTGGGTTACGGTTCTGACCTGAGGGTTCCGGTGGGAGACGGGAGTGGACTCATCAGGGTTAAAGGTTACGGGTTCGGGTTACGGTTCTGACCTGAGGGTTCCGGTGGGAGACGGGAGTGGACTCATCAGGGTTAAGGGTTACGGGTTCGGGTTACGGTTCTGACCTGAGGGTTCCGGTGGGAGACGGGAGTGGACTCATCAGGGTTAAGGGTTACGGGTTCGGGTTACGGTTCTGACCTGAGGGTTCCGGTGGGAGACGGGAGTGGACTCATCAGGGTTAAGGGTTACGGGTTCGGGTTACGGTTCTGACCTGAGGGTTCCGGTGGGAGACGGGAGTGGACTCATCAGGGTTAAGGGTTACGGGTTCGGGTTACGGTTCTGACCTGAGGGTTCCGGTGGGAGACGGGAGTGGACTCATCAGGGTTAAGGGTTACGGGTTCGGGTTACGGTTCTGACCTGAGGGTTCCGGTGGGAGACGGGAGTGGACTCATCAGGGTTAAAGGTTACGGGTTTGGGTTACGGTTCTGACCTGAGGGTTCCGGTGGGAGACGGGAGTGGACTCATCAGGGTTAAAGGTTACGGGTTCGGGTTACGGTTCTGACCTGAGGGTTCCGGTGGGAGACGGGAGTGGACTCATCAGGGTTAAGGGTTACGGGTTCGGGTTACGGTTCTGACCTGAGGGTTCCGGTGGGAGACGGGAGTGGACTCATCAGGGTTAAGGGTTACGGGTTCGGGTTACGGTTCTGACCTGAGGGTTCCGGTGGGAGACGGGAGTGGACTCATCAGGGTTAAGGGTTACGGGTTCGGGTTACGGTTCTGACCTGAGGGTTCCGGTGGGAGACGGGAGTGGACTCATCAGGGTTAAGGGTTACGGGTTACGGTTCTGACCTGAGGGTTCCGGTGGGAGACGGGAGTGGACTCATCAGGGTTAAGGGTTACGGGTTCGGGTTACGGTTCTGACCTGAGGGTTCCAGTGGGAGACGGGAGTGGACTCATCAGGTGTGCGATGTTGTCGGGAATGTTGATGGTCAGCGGGGAGATCTGGGGCTGGACCGCTTTGACGGGAGACTCCGGGGCGTTCCTGCGCTCCCTCCTGTCGCTGGACAGGGCCGTGAACGTAATTTTGATATTTGTGCTGGGAAAGCGGAAAGTGCACCTGCAAAACAGCAAACGAGAGTTAGTAATTTCAACCAATTACACAAGTTTATCAAGTGGCATTTTGAAAGTAAATATCCATGAAAATAAAACGCATAGATGTTGATAAAGCAGTCAGCAACAGTAGAGCCGGTTAATATATGGACACCAGAATGGCCCGATTACATGACTCATATTTCATCAGAAATATATACATGTATACATATATGAATCTTGGCTTCAATGACCTTTGTGTGATGTTAAACACTTCTGCTAACCATAAACTCAGTGGCTTTAATAGTTAATTAATACTCTATCTTTATGATGTGAGGTGCAGCTGATTTAAAACATCGCCTCTGCACCAATAAAACAAAGGCAAACCACATCGTCTAAATAAAGATGAAATAAGAAGAAATGTAAACAAATTGTGGTCCTACCTCAATGCATGCATGCCATTAAAAGCAAGGTCAAAATATGTCGTTAATAAAGTGTGATTACATTAGATATACACGATGTAGTCTCATAATCATTCATTAGTGTGCATTAAAATATGAATTACATTAACCAGCCTATTAATTCTGACTACTCCTTTTGTCATGTTATGAATGGGTCCAGTGTACGTCAGATGTGGGTCAACTAAAAGGTCATCGGGTCTGAATGAAGCCCGAAACACTGACAGTGGATCTCCAGGCATTATATGCGTCTGCTATGCTTTAAAAGAAGATGCTGGAGATGCACGCAGGAGAACGCCTGTAGTGTTTAGTGTGAACAGACTGAGGCAGAGAGCTTGTCATAATCAACACGTGCTGAAACACAACAAACGCGTTTACATGCGGGGCAGCTGCAGCGGGGGCGCGCCTCGCCTCTGGAACACGCCGTCCACGAACACGCCGTTCTTGCCGAGGCACCGCAGGTAGAAGTCCCCGTTCCCCGAGCCGTCCTCCCCGGCGGAGAACACCTCCAGGTGCCTGCGGGAGATGAAGCTCGAGTGGCCCATGCTGACGTCCACGGAGCCCTGGGACGAGTTCCGGCCCACGGTGACCGAGCGCTTCTTCATCAGATACTCGAACTCTCGGCCCTCGAGCCGGGCGACAACCGAGCCCGCCATCTTTACTCGTTCTCTGGACCGGGACTGGGCACTGTAGAAGGAAGGAGCGGGCGGCCGTGTGTCGCTCGGGAGGCCCGGTTGCAGAATTTAGTGGGGGGATCGAATCAAAGGATGAGAAATAAATAAGCAGGAACGCGGCAGCCCGGGGACAGCGGCTCCAACCCACCGCCGCGACAAGAGAACGAGAAAACCAGCAACCCTACCAAACAAACCGAGGAGGCGGGGCTAGCGTGACTGACAGCCGCCGCGACCAATCGCTCTCCAGATCTCGAGGAGAAAACGGCAATCCGCCAATCAGCAGCGAGACGCGAGTTGTGTGGGGTCGGCGGTTGGTTGCACTGCGAGCGGCTGACACGCATGTAGTGTGTGTGTGTGTGTGTGTGTGTAAGAGAAGTCAATGAGTTCGGCTGCTGCGGACATCAGACGCTTTACACTGCGATGATGGTTTTACTAAAGAGATTGATCCACTCATCTCCACATGACTTTGGTGGCCACGGCAATAAATGTGTTGTAAATATGTTTTCAGAATCCAACTATTATCCAACAAACTATTCTGCTATGTGTTAAAGGCGTGTGTGCCCTTGTAATGATGCTGGTGTGCTGCTGCTGCTTCATGGACTACAGATAATGTTGCATTATTGACTTATAGGGTTGCATTATTTCCCTGTTATCTCTGTAAAGCTGCTTTGAAACACTGTAAAAAAGCGCTATATAAATAATGGTGACTTGACCAGAGATAAACAAATCATCATGGAGACAAAATATGCATCATTAATTTTGCCACGTTTCTCAAAACGATAATAGAGAGAGAAGGTGCTCATACGAGAATCCTGAAATCACACACACTCGCATGCATCTGTCCATAAAGAGAAGAGCTATTCCCAAACACTGGTTACTTCCAGTCTGCTAACCCAACTCTAACCCAGTCTGCTAACCCTAACCCAACTCTAACCCAGTCTGCTAACCCTAACCCAGCCTGCTAACCCAACTCTAACCCAGTCTGCTAACCCAAACCTCACCCTAACCCAGTTTGCTAACCCAACTCTAACCCAGTCTGCTAACCCAAACCTCACCCTAAACCAGTCTGCTAACCCAAACCTCGCCCTAACCCAACTCTAACCCAGTCTGTTAACCCAAACCTCACCCTAACCCAGCCTGCTAACCCAGTCTGCTAACCCAAACCTCACCCTAACCCAGCCTGCTAACCCAACTCTAACCCAGTCTGCTAACCCAAACCTCACCCTAACCGAGCCTGCTAACCCAACTCTAACCCAATCTGCTAACCCAAACCTCACCCTAACCCAGCCTGCTAACCCAAACCTCACCCTAACCCAGCCTGCTAACCCAACTCTAACCCAGTCTGCTAACCCAAACCTCACCCTAACCCAACCTGCTAACCCAACTCTAACCCAGTCTGCTAACCCAAACCTCACCATAACCCAGCCTGCTAACCCAACTCTAACCCAGTCTGCTAACCCAAACCTCACCCTAACCCAGCCTGCTAACCCAACTCTAACCCAGTCTGCTAACCCAAACCTCACCATAACCCAGCCTGCTAACCCAACTCTAACCCAGTCTGTTAACCCAAACCCTGCTAGAGTTACACGTCAGCAGTGGCATGAAAGATTTGCCATTCCTAATTGTTTACAATCGTCTTTAATTTGTCATATGATACTGAATTCTGTGCGCATCATCTTACATCATCATCTTCATGAAATTATGCGTATCACTTGCACGTTATCAATGACAAAAGCATCAAATGAGTAACAAAATAGCTTAGATACATTTCAAAGAACAGTTATAAGAATGAGGACACACTTAAAACACTGTTCTCCGGGTGATGAGATGGGCACTTCTGGTTCAGTGCATTCGTCTTTAAGAGAATTACTGCAAGAGTTTACAAGCTCCAAACATTTACCCTTTTCTAGAGTAGCAATGTAGTTATTCTGGGTATCATTTTATTTGAAACCATTAGGAGTGTAAATGTGGAGTAAATCTGTCACGTCTCTCGTGTGATGATTACTGAAGCACAGCCTGTACACTGATTAGATTTCCTTAAAGCCAGCAAATCCTTGCCAAAGAAAAATATTGCATGAGATGTGGAGCACATATTTACACCAAAAAATGTCTGTTTTGTAATACTAGTCTATATTATATGTAGTTACGTGATTTTTTATCTGGTGTTCTTACAGCAAGAAAAACAATATCTAACACTAACGAAAAGTTTGCAAATGCAGTGTGTGAATGATGGCGATGTGGAAGCAGAGGCACTCCTGCATTAGGTCAGTCAGTGGCCGGATCAGCACTCCTGCATTAGGTCAGTCAGTGGCCGGATCAGCACTCCTGCCGGGACGGAAGACCGCTTAAAAAAGTGTCCTTTCACAAAATAAGGTTTCCCTCGTCAGTCACTCTTTCAGTCGTGTTCCAGTCAGGAGAGACTGGAGTGTGTACAGTGTTCAGTTCTCTCCGCTCGTCTGTGTGACGCTCGAATCCCACCGGAGTCCTTCCACATCCGGGAAACTCCAAGACTGGTAAAGTGAAGTAGTGTGTGTGTGTGTGTGTGTTCAGATCTTCTCGTCGGTCATCTCCAGGAACTGCGCGTACACGTCCCTCGAACACTCGCCCTTCTGGTTAAACAGGAACTTGTAGTAGCTCCCGTCGGAGCAGATCGCTGGAAGAGTTGGGATCGGGTCAGTGGGAACGTTCAACAGCACATGCATGTTTATATAATAATAGGAGCTGATGTGTGAAGTGTGCTGATACCGATCACAGCGTTGGGCTCGGTCCCGAAGGCACAGACGCAGGGAGAACCGGACGGCACCTGGAACTTGGAGAAACTCCACTTGGAGCTGAAGTACTTGGGCAGAAAACTGGCGGACGCCAAGCTGTGGAGGACGGGTGTGAGAGACGTGAGCGAGACGGAGCCTGCACTCACACATTAGCAGAAATAGCAGACCATAACAGCAGCGACGAGCCTGACGAGCTTCAACACACACACACACACACACACACACACCTGGACTGCTTGTTCCTTTTGGGATCCTCCGCTGCAAATACGTGGATTGTGCCGTGATCACTGGAAACGCAGATCAGAGACGCATCCTGGTTGAAATTGATGCTGAAACACACACACACACACACATAATTATAAACACACACAATTATAAACACACACACACACACACACACTCAGTTATAAACACACACACATAATTATAAACACACACACACATAATTATAAACACACACAATTATAAACACACACACACACACACACACACTCAGTTATAAACACACACACATAATTATAAACACAAACACACAATTATAAACACACACACACAATAATAATAACACACACAATTATAAACACACACACACACAATTATAAACACACACACACAATAATAATAACACACACAATTATAAACACACACACACTCAGTTATAAACACACACAGACTCAGTTATAAACACACACAGACTCAGTTATAAACACACACTCTCAGTTATAAACACACACTCTCAGTTATAAACACACACACACAGTTATAAACACACACACACTCAGTTATAAACACACACAGACTCAATTATAAACACACACAGACTCAGTTATAAACACACACACTCAGTTATAAACACACACACTCAGTTATAAACACACACTCTCAAAACACACACTCTCAGTTATAAACACACACACTCAGTTATAAACACACACTCTCAAACACACACTCTCAGTTATAAACACACACACTCAGTTATAAACACACACTCTCTCAGTTATAAACACACACTCTCAGTTATAAACACACACACACAGTTATAAACACACACACACTCAGTTATAAACACACACAGACTCAATTATAAACACACACAGACTCAGTTATAAACACACACACTCAGTTATAAACACACACACTCAGTTATAAACACACACACTCAGTTATAAACACACACACACACACAATTATAAACACACACACACACACACACAATTAAAATAACACACACACAATTATAAACACACACACACAATTATAATAACACACACACAATTATAAACACACACACTCAGTTATAAACACACACAGACTCAGTTATAAACACACACACACACAGTTATAAACACACACACACACTCAGTTATAAACACACACACACTCAGTTATAAACACACACAAACTCAGTTATAAACACACACACACACTCAGTTATAAACACAAACACTCAATTATAAACACACACACTCAGTTATAAACACACACACACAGTTATAAACACACACTCAGTTATAAACACACACACACTCCGATATAAACACACACTCTCAGTTATAAACACACACTCAGTTATAAACACACACTCAGTTATAAACACACACACTCAGCTATAAACACACACTCTCAGTTATAAACACACACTCTCAGTTATAAACACACACTCTCAGTTATAAACACACACTCTCAGTTATAAACACACACTCTCAGTTATAAACACACACTCTCAGTTATAAACACACACTCAGTTATAAACACACACTCAGTTATAAACACACACACACAGTTATAAACACACACTCAGTTATAAACAGTTATAAACACACACACACTCCGATATAAACACACACTCTCAGTTATAAACACACACTCAGTTATAAACACACACACTCAGCTATAAACACACACTCTCAGTTATAAAAACACACTCTCAGTTATAAACACACACTCTCAGTTATAAACACACACTCTCAGTTATAAACACACACACTCAGTTATAAACACACACTCTCAGTTATAAACACACACTCTCAGTTATAAACACACACTCTCAGTTATAAACACACACTCTCAGTTATAAACACACTCTCAGTTATAAACACACACTCTCAGTTATAAACACACACTCTCAGTTATAAACACACACTCTCTCAGTTATAAACACACACTCTCAGTTATAAACACACACTCTCCGTTATAAACACACACTCTCAAACACACACTCTCAGTTATAAATACACACTCTCAGTTATAAACACACACTCTCTCAGTTATAAACACACACTCTCAGTTATAAACACACACACTCAGTTATAAACACACACTCTCAGTTATAAACACACACACTCAGTTATAAACACACACTCTCAGTTATAAACACACACTCTCAGTTATAAACACACACTCTCAGTTATAAACACACACTCAGTTATAAACACACACTCAGTTATAAACACACACTCAGTTATAAACACACACACACTCAGTTATAAACACACACTCTCCACACACTCTCAGTTATAAACACACACTCTCAGTTATAAACACTCAGTTATAAACAAACACTCTCAGTTATAAACACACACACTCAGTTATAAACACACACTCTCAGTTATAAACACACACTCTCAGTTATAAACACACACTCTCAGTTATAAACACACACTCTCAGTTATAAACACACACACTCTCGGTTATAAACACACACTCTCAGTTATAAACACACACTCTCAGTTATAAACACACACACTCTCGGTTATAAACACACACACTCTCGGTTATAAACACACACTCTCAGTTATAAACACACACTCTCCACACACTCTCAGTTATAAACACACACTCTCAGTTATAAACACACACTCTCAGTTATAAACACACACTCTCAGTTATAAACACACACTCTCAAACACTCTCAGTTATAAACACACACTCTCAGTAAACACACACTCTCAGTTATAAACACACACTCTCAAACACACACTCTCAGTTATAAACACACACTCTCAGTTATAAACACACTCTCAGTTATAAACACACACTCTCAGTTATAAACACACACTCTCAGTTATAAACACACACTCTCTCAGTTATAAACACACACTCTCCGTTATAAACACACACTCTCAAACACACACTCTCAGTTATAAATACACACTCTCAGTTATAAACACACACTCTCTCAGTTATAAACACACACACACACTCAGTTATAAACACACACTCTCAGTTATAAACACACACACTCAGTTATAAACACACACTCTCAGTTATAAACACACACACTCAGTTATAAACACACACTCTCAGTTATAAACACACACTCTCAGTTATAAACACACACTCTCAGTTATAAACACACACTCTCAGTTATAAACACACACTCTCAGTTATAAACACACACTCAGTTATAAACACACACTCAGTTATAAACACACACTCAGTTATAAACACACACACACTCAGTTATAAACACACACTCTCAGTTATAAACACACACTCTCAGTTATAAACACACACACTCAGTTATAAACACACACTCTCAGTTATAAACACACACACTCTCGGTTATAAACACACACTCTCAGTTATAAACACACACTCTCAGTTATAAACACACACACACTCTCGGTTATAAACACACACTCTCAGTTATAAACACACACTCTCAGTTATAAACACACACTCTCCACACACTCTCAGTTATAAACACACACTCTCAGTTATAAACACACACTCTCAGTTATAAACACACACTCTCAAACACTCTCAGTTATAAACACACACTCTCAGTAAACACACACTCTCAGTTATAAACACACACTCTCAAACACACACTCTCAGTTATAAACACACACTCTCAGTTATAAACACACTCTCAGTTATAAACACACACTCTCAGTTATGAACACACACTCTCAAACACTCTCAGTTATAAACACACACTCTCAGTAAACACACACTCTCAGTTATAAACACACACTCTCAAACACACACTCTCAGTTATAAACACACACTCTCAGTTATAAACACACTCTCAGTTATAAACACACACTCTCAGTTATAAACACACACTCTCAGTTATAAACACACTCTCAGTTATAAACACACACTCTCAGTTATAAACACACACTCTCAGTTATAAACACACACTCTCTCAGTTATAAACACACACTCTCAGTTATAAACACACACTCTCCGTTATAAACACACACTCTCAAACACACACTCTCAGTTATAAATACACACTCTCAGTTATAAACACACACTCTCTCAGTTATAAACACACACACACTCAGTTATAAACACACACTCTCAGTTATAAACACACACACTCAGTTATAAACACACACTCTCAGTTATAAACACACACACTCAGTTATAAACACACACTCTCAGTTATAAACACACACTCTCAGTTATAAACACACACTCTCAGTTATAAACACACACTCTCAGTTATAAACACACACTCAGTTATAAACACACACTCAGTTATAAACACACACTCAGTTATAAACACACACACACTCAGTTATAAACACACACTCTCCACACACTCTCAGTTATAAACACACACTCTCAGTTATAAACACTCAGTTATAAACAAACACTCTCAGTTATAAACACACACTCTCAAACACTCTCAGTTATAAACACACACTCTCAGTTATAAACACACACTCTCAAACACACACTCTCAGTTATAAACACACACTCTCAGTTATAAACACACACTCTCAAACACACACTCTCAGTTATAAACACACACTCTCAGTTATAACCACACACTCTCAGTTATAAACACACACTCTCAGTTCAGTTATAAACACACACTCTCAGTTCAGTTAAAAAACACACACTCTCAGTTATAAACACACACACTCAGTTATAAACACACACTCTCAGTTATAAACACACACACACTCAGTTATAAACACACACACACACTCAGTTATAAACACACACTCTCAGTTATAAACACACACTCTCAGTTCAGTTATAAACACACACTCTCAGTTCAGTTATAAACACACACTCTCTCAGTTATAAACACACACTCTCAGTTATAAACACACACACTCAGTTATAAACACACACACTCAGTTATAAACACACACTCTCAGTTATAAACACACACTCTCAGTTATAAACACACACACTCAGTTATAAACACACACTCTAAGTTATAAACACACACTCTCAGTTATAAACACACACTCTCAGTTCAGTTATAAACACACAGTCTCTGTTATAAACACACACACACTCAGTTATAAACACACACACTCAGTTATAAACACACACTCTCAGTTATAAACACACACACTCA